TGTTCACGTGAGATACTGCGAAAGCGTAAATCTAAACATACATCTACTAATTAATCCCATGAGCCAGTATTAGTAGCCATTGACCATCAAGATATGACATCAAGTGTCTTTCCTGACGGAGTCTCATGGACAACATAGCGGTTGTATTTCGGATAACTGGAAACATGATTCCACACATACAGATAACCTAATTAATACAATAATTTAAACAGATAGCTTGCAAGTCCCACACGGACTGCAATCCCCTTAATGGGTCAATACAACTAATAAGGCTCCATGCCCAAATTAACTGAATACATGCATCAGGTCTATATTAATTTGAAGTATAAAAGCATCAGTAAATAATCCATGGCTCTAAGAATACTATCATGAGCCTAAATAAATACATACAATAATCTCCATAAAATAATTAAGCATGTTAACAAGTCTACATGCCAACATCAAATCTAAACATAATATAAAATCATGAGCTGCATTATCAATTACTCCAATGCGGGGGCCTTGCCCCTAGAAGCATCACCACTACTCTGGGTACCTGAAATGATGTCCCCAAACGGGATGAGATAACAACATCTCAGTAAGCTCAAGGTTCATAGAGGATCCTCTAACCCCTGAGCCCACTTCCTGCATGACAAGTCAGATATAAAGCATATAATACAGACATACAGCATAAAATAGCATCATCATATCATCCTTGTGTAACCCTAAGGTCAAAGCCATAGACAGTTACACATGTGTTACTTCCAGGGTCAAGCCATAGACAGTCAACACAATCTCAGTATGAAATAGCTCCCAGAGTCAAGTCATAGGCAGCCTACATACTATGATCACTGGCCAGGATCCTCATAACATAAATCATCAGTGCATCATCATAACATCAAGATCATATAACATTTATATGAATGTGAATGAATGCACATATACATCATACCATATACTTTCATACAATACAACCATAATGCCCACCATCATGGTGGGGCCACAAGAGAGAGGAGTCAACTAAAACTAGGAGCTCACCTCAGGGAGCTTAGCACAAGCCCACACTCCAATATTATACGTATGCTCCAACAAAATCCTCAAGTGCACGATTCTCTAAGCACACCTAGAGTAGAAACCATTCACATCATTAATTACATATTAATTAATCAAGTCATATACATGACTTAATCATTTAATGATTCCACTTTTTATACTCATATACCAATAATATGCCCATTACAAGTCTAGACCAATTATTACATAATTACGTATTTTAGTGCATTATTACAAGCTACCTAAATCTTTAATTAATTACATATCTTAGAATCATATGCAAGGCTCACTTAGGTAACTTAGATTATTTTCAACTCATCCAAGCCATATTTATGATTATTATAAGTTACTAAGGGTTCCCCTAAGCCCACTTAGATTAAATATCACTTTTACGGTTTTTCCAAAACTGTACATGCTTCTGTTTTGTAGTCACTGAGTGCAACTCACTTGTTATAAAATTCTAATCTTTTATTATGTTAATCTAGACTCAATTAAATTTTCAACAAGTTATCACATGCCTCATTTGGAGTTTCCTAGCTCCGGTTATCACCATTTGAAGTTGGACAAACAAAGTTGTTTGCCAACTCCGAACAAGGCCCTAAACATCCTTTACCATTTCTGCGATTCTGGAAAATATATTAAACCAATTGCTCTCAAATTTTTATATAGACAACTAGAAACCTTTATATTTAATTAGAAATATTATGAGCCTAATTTTAGTAAGTAAAAAGGGAGAAACAATTCGTGGAATTTGCAGCCATATACAGCGCCCCTGCACATGGCCTCCCTGTGCAGTCTTCACTCAAACAAACATACAGAATGGAATACATCTTCAATTGATACCAAATTTTGACACCACATAGCTAAGATCTCAAGCTTCAATTTGATATAAGTCACAGCCCTATATGACTTCTGTGGAGGGAGATATGCTCTCTCCAAATTTTCTTAAAAACTGGTTACTTAGCCTTAAATGTGTTTACTTAACAAACCTTAATTACTTTTGATTATAAATCCTAATTCACATTAATTCTTGGATTTTTATATTATTAAGTCAAATTATGAAATATCATTAGTCTCATTATGTCATGATACTTAAATTTAACTAATTGATTAATTAGCGCACCTAAATCCTACTTTAGTCTAATTTTAGAGTTTAATCATTAATTAGTGTATTATGCATAATCCACTTCACTTAACCACTAAATTAATGTCCTAATTAGGTCTTAATATTAATTTTAACATAGTGACCCTATCTTAAGCATACATGGCCAAATTATTAGTGTGCTAATTAGGGTTTTAAAGCTTATTTCTTAATCCTTTCTTTAGCTAATTAATCTTTACCCTTAATTAATCCACTAATTCATCATTTCCTTTTTTTTAACACAACTAAACCATCATATACCTAAGGGGGCAGATTTGATATGATAGTGTCATTAGGATTTAAATTCCATCCTTAAGCAAGATTAGTGTTCTTAAGCTTAAAGGTTGCATTTTTAACATTATCCTTGGTTCAACTCATGATTCTCCACACTTTCCAACATCAAGAACTCATTTTTATTAAATTACAACATCAATCCCATGAAGAAATCATGTTGGCCAAATCATATAGGTGGGTGTGGGAGAGTTTTGGTCACCATTTTTCCAAGTAACCATGCTTACTTCTTCAAGTTAGCTCCAAGGCTTCAAGCTTCCACTTTTCTCAAACAAAGATGCATCCTTTCCACCAAGAACACACCTTTAACAAAGACTCAAAGTTAGAACTCAAGAACACAACTCAAAGGTGGGATTTTTCAAGGAAAAGATTCAAGAGACTTACACTAAAACTCAAGGAAACAAGCACCAAGGAGTGTTCTTCCAAGAGAACTCAAAATAACATCTCCATGGCATGACAAAGCTCCAACACCGCTGCTGTATGGGAAGGTTTCCACCATGAAAATTTGGCTTTTCAAAATAAAAATAGGATATTCTTGAAGAGGATGATGAGAGGAACAACTTTGATGAAGGAGGTTTGGTTGATTTGGTGAGGTTTTGGAGATGAAATCTTAGAGAGAAGTGAGAGCAAAGTTTGAAGTTTGAAATTTAGAGAGAGAAGGAGAAATGGGGGCTGCAAATATGATCAGAAAAATGGGGGAAAGGTGCCCTAATTAAGGTTGCCATGTCACTAAGTGACCATTCGTCTTTTAGTGAGACCCGATGTAATTTTTAACTGATCCGTCGTCAAATTAATACCCGGAAACTCCCAAGACTCTAACTTTAAGTACTTAACATTAATTTTGTCTAAATATGATGTTCATAACTTAAAAATTTGATTAGTAGATCACAGATCCACTAACAGTTATTTAATTGCACTGTAGTCTTTACCGTTCTTCTTAACTGTACCCGGATTTCATAATCTTCTTAACTTTAACGTTTTTGGTCTAATTATGACTTGTTAGGCATATATTGGTCTTTATTTCCATTTTCTCATATTTTTCCCATTTCGAGATTCTACCGGCTGCTGCTACAGCAGTACAAAATACCCGGCAGAAGTGACTTTTCAAAAATACCCCAATATGGGTATCAATCTTCATCAAATCATATCCTAACCTCATTCATGATGTTTATATCATTAGATTAGATCTGTAACTATAATTTTCTCTCTTGAAGCTATTCTACTGACTGTTACTGCGTCAGCAGCCAAAAATAACAGATGAAAACTCAACTGTTCAGAATACCTTCAATATAGGTATCAAACTTCATCAAATCTCATGCTTACATCATTTATGATATTCATATCATTAGGATAGTTCTCTAACTTAAATTCACTGTACTGGAGCTATTCTACAGTCTATTACTGCGTCAGCAGTCAAACATAACAGATGAAAATTCACCTGACTGAAATATTGTCAATATGGGTATCCAAATTCTTAGAATTTCATTCTCATTCTATTTATGACCATAAGGTCCTCATCATAACTCTCTTATTTAAAAGTCATATAATTAGGGTTATTATAAAAATCTTCTAAGTCACTAGATTCAAATAGGACAAATTGATTTCTTTAATATATTATTATCTTTTTAAATTAATACAATTAAATTTAATAATAAAATTAAAAAATTCTCACTCTCTCTCCATTAAATTTAATAATAAAAAATTAAAAACTTCTTTCGCTCCATTAAGTTTAAATGACCTTTCTCTCTCTCGTTATTAATGTTAGCTTTAAATTTCCTCTATCTCTATTAAATTTTATTATTTTGTTTCAAATAAGAGGACGTAACTCTCCCATTTTTTTCTGCACGCGGTTACCTACTCTCAATTTTCATACATTTTTAAAAAATAATTTTAAAATAATTATTGAAAAAATTGTTTAACTATTATTTAATCATTCAAACCCCATAAAACTAAGAGAAGGATTAGCATTGAGTCCCCAAGATTTCGCCATGTGTAAATTAATATAATACTGTTTGAAATTATGGCTGAATAATTAATATAATTTTAAAAAAAATTAAAATAATATGATTTGACTATTTTTAATTATTCCAACCCCACAAATATGATCAAATCCTACACCTGTACTCACTTTCTCTTTTTAAAAATATATTATTTATTTTCCAAATAAATTATATTATTTTAATAATTATTTTTAAAATTATATTAAATTCATCAGTCCGCATATATAAAATTAAATTATATTCATCAGTCAACACACATATGTATTTTATATAATACATATTTCAAAACGCCCAATTTTTCTGACACTGCATGCATCTAATCTCATGTCATTTCCAACAAATTTTTAACCATTGGAAAGCATTTTCCATGCTCCAGTCAACAACAGTTATCTCCTCTCAATCCTCATTCCTTATATATTATTATATCTCTCCCCCCACCCTATATATGGCGTTCTCTTCTTAGCAAAAGCCAGTCAGATATCACCATTCAATCTTCATACATTATCTTTTCTCAGTCATTTTTCTGCAGTGTGCAAATGGTAGGGTTTGGTAATATAATACCTAACAAGTTTCTCGGCCTTTTGCTTTTGATGATACCGATGTTGCTTCTTAGCTCATCATCCTCATCTCAAGCAGCGGCAAAGGAATTTTCTGTTGGTGGTAAAGATGGTTGGGTTGTGAAACCTTCCGAATATTACAATCAATGGGCTCAAGAAAACAGGTTTCAAGTCAATGACATTCTATGTAAGTCTAATAATATTAATTTTATCTTTACAAAGAAATAAGGATATATAAAAGGGTTCTAATATATATTCATGTTCTATTTTGGATGCATGCAGATTTCAAGTACAAGAAAGTGGACGATTCAGTTCTGGTAGTGAAGAAAGAGGATTATTTTTCCTGCAACAACAATAATCCCATTCATAAGATGGACGATGGGAATTCAACTTTCCTTTTGGACAGGTCGGGTCACTTTTTCTTTATCAGTGGCAACGTTGACAACTGCAAAAATGGTCAAAAGCTTATAATTTTTGCCATCGCTTTAAAAGACACACTGTCGCATGCTACACCACCGTCCCGGTCACCGGCGAGTGTCTCACATGGACATGGAGGAGGGGATGGCGGAGGATGGAGTGTAAGAGTAAATGATGACAATAGATATTGCTCCAATTTATGCTGTAACATAGTTGGTTGCTTTTGTTGTTAAAGGCAGACCACATAAACTGGATGGATAAGTATATCCATGTAGCAACTAAATGTAAGAAATAATAAATAAGAAATAAAGATTGGACTCTCTATTCTCCATGCCATGTGTGTCGTGGGTTGAAAAGTCTTCTTTTAACTATGCATGTAGCTGACACATATTTGATGCCTATGAAGTAAGTTTTGACGGTTTCACAAAAATAAAATAAAATCTAAGCTCATCAAACTATGAAATTAAACATAAATGCTAATGTTCCTAAAATGAACTATTGGATAAATAGTTTTCTTCTCAATCATGTTGCATTTTTTTATCGGTGCTTTATAGTTAATTTTATTGGTTCTGATTAAAAGATCTAAAATGTTTTATTCGACAAATTTTTTGTAATAATTATGTTAATAAAATTTGACTAAAATCAGTCAATGACCACCTAACATTAAAATATAGCGCTAAACCAAAAAAAGTTGTTTCAAGTGGTGCGTGCTTAATTTCTTTTAAGCAAGGTTTTGAGTTCAAACCCTTGTGAATACGAAAAATTTCCTTTGGGAGAGCTAGCCCCCACTATAAAGTCTAACTCAAACAAAATTATGTCTCGTGAAGGATATATGAGATGCTTCATAGGTGCTATAGAAAGTAAGGAAGAGGTGTATAAAAACTTTTTGTATAGTATTTGTTGCGAAATCGGCAAGTATACCGTTCGTTTCAAATAATAAAGTGGAAGTAAGATATCGTTCCCTCTAGGATTAATGCACCAACTATTAATCTAACTATTCCCCTTGAATTGGAAAAGTTTAGTTTGATTAGGAAAATATTTGTTGATAGAAATTTAAAAACAAAAATTTAAAAACAATAATATTCAAAAGCATTCAAGAATATCAAGAACGTCAAGAAAATATGAATGATTAAAAATTGTAAAAGAAGCTGCAGTCAGGATGCACTTCACCTCCAATCCTCCTTTATATTCCTAAATTGTATTTTATAACTAACTAATTTATTAGCCCAGACAATTCACTATTTCCCTATTAAATAGTCGAACCCTAATGTCTTAGTGATTTCATCCCTTTAACCCAATTACAATTCTAGTGTCCTAGTAATTCCTCTTGAATTAAACATTAAGCAAATGAATTAAAAGTCTCCAATCTATGTAAGCCTATGTCTGGGTCATGCACGGATTGTTATTCTACCCTTGTCCAGATTAAAACCCCAATATGTCTATTGTGAGCTCTAACCCTCAAAATCCTATAATAGAGCGATCAATTCCATCAAGGATATGAAAAAATTAACACAGGTAGAATAAAACTAAACAAATTAAATTAATTATAAAAACAATTTAAAACTCATAAAGGATTCACATTGGATCCGTGATCCCAACTACAAAAAGAAAACTAACTAGACATATCTGGATTTAACAAATCAAAATAATAAAAAGTATTCATAAAACAGAAAGAAAGAAAGAAAATGAAGAGGAAGAATCAAAGGTCTTCGGTCTTCAACTTCGTCGAAATCCTGATCTCCAGCGTGAGTCTCCAAGAATTCTCTCAATTCTCTGATTCTCACAATTCTCTCTAGCCAAAGATGCTTTTCTCTGGGGTCTTAGTCTCTTTTTATAGATTTTGTGCCCTTGTTTTGAAATCTTGATCAAATCTCTTGGTCCAATCTCCTCCTGATACAGCCTGAAACAAGATTTAAAATAATTACGTGCTTCCCGCGCTACTAGCGCCAGGTTGGCGCTGATAGCGTGGGAATATTGGTTGAATGTAATAGCTTCGCGTTACTAGCGTGACTTTCACGTTAGTAGCGCGGTTGGCAGAAAAAGTTGGCGCTGATAGCGCCAGTTCCTCAGTAGTAGTGTGGTGGCACTGTGTTGAAAAGTGAGAGCGCCAGCTCCGCGCCAGTAGCACGGTTGCTTCAGACTTGTATCTTTCCTTTGCTATTAATTGGGCCTCTTTCTTGTACTTTTTCCTACAAAAATATAAGAGAATCAGTGACAAGATACCTGATTAGGGTTTATTAATTTAATAGCAATTATAGCCCTTTTTATTCATGATTGATCAAGATTCTTTCTCTTTTTGGCTTAAAATCATATCTATGCTGGAGGCATATCAAACAATTTCCAGATTTGAATGTTGCTGCCCTCAACAATGTACTAGATCAAAAATAGAAACAAGGATAGATTCTGTGGAGATAAAACACGAAACACTAATATCTTAAGAGATTAGAATGCTATGCATGTATAACTTCCCTGTTGAAAAATTCAAACAATGCTTTTCAGTTTTATCAAGAAATTCGGATCATAACTTGAGTGTTCCTCACTAGATAAATATGTAACTCTCATCACTCTAGTGTTTGAAGGTTTCAACACTCATTCCATCAGTGTAGTAGTAATCCATAGGCTTGATCATATTCTCAAGTTCCTAAGATTGAGGAACTCATTTGTCATGCATAAACTGATCAAAAGGTCTTGAAAGGTTGTAACTTGGCTTAGTTTCGGGGTAGGAATCTTTTGGATAGAGGCTGATTAATTTTTGAGACTGAAATACTGAGATTTCTTGATAATGTTGTATTCTTTATCTTTAATTCTTCCATTTTTCGTCAATTCGAGATTCTTATTCCCTTTTCACTACCTTTTTCTTTTCTTTCCTTGTTTGCAGATATTTTCTTTCTTTTCTCTTTTGAACTGCATTTTTGCATACCCTTCTTCTTTTTCCTTTTGCAACTTACTTAACTTTTCTTTTGAGAAGTACCTTGACTTTTCCTTTGATCAACATTTCAATCTCTTTCAAGGTGTGTCAATGGGAACAAGGTTAAGTCACTTTCATCAGGTTTTTGAATAAATTGGTCTAAGGCTCAAAAGGGCTTAACAATGGAAATTCCTTCTAGGTAGGCTATTTGGCTCTAAGTTAACAAGAATAAATGTGTCTTTATCATATCAGTAATGCATGCAAGCTAGAGAAACATATCAAGTTCTGGAAAACTACTACAGTGAGGCCTCATTGAAAAAAATTTATTGTTTAGGCTCAATCCTCACAGATATAAATTCAAGTTAGAATCAAATTTCAAAATTTCACATCAAGCATTATCTGAAATTCTTCACAAAAGCAATTATACAAACGAGCAGTCATCAATCTCAAATTATGGCAGTAAAGTGATGGTCCACAGATATCACAAATTCTTCTTATGATCGAATCCATTTGATTACTGAGTAAGCTTTTGCACAATCTAGGAATGCTTGTTCAGGAATTCCTTATTTTATTTTTTTCATTTTTTAAAAAAAAATTGAATTAAAAACAGCAGAAAATAATAAAAAGAGAGGTTAAAGTATCTCCCTTTTAACAGAATTTTTTTTCGTTAGACGTCTCTGTTGTGCAATTCCGCAGTTAGCAGTTATCGCATATGGTATGCGCCTAATTCCCAGATTTAGAATGTTGTTGTCCTCAGCAATAAACTAAACTAGTCAAGTGAAGCTACATCGGCGCAGGTGGAACACACACACACACACACACTTGTTAAACGTCAACCAAAATAATCATAACAGTATAATGTACGAAGAGACATAACCCAAAATAAAATATCAAAACAGCAAAATAAAGAAAAATACGAAAGTCAAGATAAATAGTGAAGTGTGTGACATGGACTTTTGGCTATGGCGTTGATAGCGCGGAGCCCGCGCTATTGGCGCGTAGCTATTGTGAAATTTGGATTCCTTGGCGCTAACAGCGCGGATCTCATGTTTAATGTAAGAACCCACACCTTTAATTAAGGAATTTAATTAAATATTTATGTGATTAATGAGATAATTCCATAATTAACCTTAATAATTATGAGAAGGCTTGGATAATTATAGAAAGTAATTAATAATGTTGAAAGTCATTTTTCTGACGAAAAGTGCAGATACCAGTTCTGCTCGCGGTATAAGTGCGTACCGATGAAGTATCCTGAAAAATTATAATAAGTGCATGAATATTCCTAAAATAATATGTAGGACTGTGATTTCAAGTTTCAAGTTAATTTAATGAGAACTAGTGCCATAACTGATACTGGCTATGTAAAAGCGCGTACCGGAAAGGTTCTGCGAAAATTAATATAAAAATATAACAAATCTTAGAAAAATGAGTAGGTTCAGAATCTAAAGTTTGAGATTAAAATGCTAAGCGTAACTATTTTTGTTAATATTGTGTGATTAATTAAGTGGGCCTATATAAGCTTAAGGGCACAATGCCCTAGGTCAGATGATATTACTCTTACGTATAGCCTTCTGGTGCTATTTGGTTGCTGCCATCTTCCCTTCACCATTTCATCACCTTCCCTCTCCATTGAAGCCTCTTGAGACCATCTTTTCTCTTGAGTTCTTCATAAAGACTCCTAGTGTGTGTGTGTATGTGTGTGTTTAAGCCTTAGGAGGGTGAAAGGTTCTCCATTTCTGAGTGGTATCTACTGCCTTGTGTGAGTTGTGGGCTGAGTTGGTGGTTCCCATTCGTGTGAGCCATTATTCATGCCATTGGAGGCTTCAAGGAACCTTCATTGTGTAGAAAGGACCAAGCTTTGGTGTATTTTTGTGGCCTTGTGAAGTCAGAACTATAGTGCTGTGTAGAGGACCCCTTGTGTGTCTCATTTCCGGAGTTTTGGATCCTTAGAGGTATTCATGATCACCTCTTTGTCATTTTGATGTTTTAAGCTTGTTTAATCAGTTAAAAAGTAAAACTTGGATCATTTAAGTAAAGGAATGTGTTTCTGAGTTCATAACATGTTAATGAACATCTATTTAGGGAGTCATTGGACTCCCAATTACATTTGGACCCTTAAAAATGGGATTATGCAGTTGTCTGTTCGAAATTCTGCATTCTGTTGGAGAAGTATTCGAATACTTTTCGTGTAGTATTCGAATACTTGTCCTCTGGTAGTCGAATACTCCTTGCAGGAGTATTGGTATATTTTTCTGGGAAGAAAAGTATTCGGATACCTTTGAAGAAGTATTCGAATACTGGAAAGTATTCGAATACAGTGAG